GAATTAAGATGAAGCAAGTTTATTCTTGTGCCCTTTTCCTCCTCTGCCTAATTTTCCTTGGGGCAACTTTGGGTGCCGAAGCTGGGACATGCAAGCCTAGTGGTAAGCTTAGGGGCAAAGGGCCTCCAAAAGGGCAATGCAACAAACTCGATGACTCTGTTGCTGTGTGGAAGGCAAGTTTTACACTACATACAAGTGTTCACCCCCAGTTTCCAGCCGCACAAAGGCAACCCTAACACTCAACTGCTTCGACGAGGGCTGTGATGGTGGTGCACCATATGAATGTGACAACCAGTACACTCTGATGATGAACCTGTAGTGGCACTCTCAACAGGATGGTACAACAAGGGCAGCAGATGTTTGAAGTACATTAATATTCATGGCAATGGAGGGACTGTCAAGGCTAAGGTTGTTGATGAATGTGACCCTAGCTACGATGGGTTGTGATGCTGATTATGATTACCATCCTTCTTGTCCTTGCAACATTGTGGATGCCTCCAAAGCAGTCTGGAAGGCCTTGGGGGTGCCAGAAAGTGATTGAGGGGAGATGGATATACATTGGTCTGATGCCTAATTATTATCTTCATGTTTATAGTCTCTTCAGTGTTAGATACATCTCCCTCTGTGTGTCTCATGTTATATGGTACGTTTTAAGACTGTCCACTTCCCTGCTTTGTATCATGTTCCATGTATTTGACATGAAAATCAGAACTCTGGAGCTTTGTATGGATTTCAGTTTCTGTTCAGTTAAAATTTGGCGGAAAATAGCCAGAGAAATCAACACATAATCACGGAACATACAATGTGGTTACAGAAACATAAATTTTATATAATCTTTGATTGCAAGGCATACATAGAGTTGGATTGGTGTCCATCACCAATACAGACTAGGCAATAAACAAAAACCAAAGCTTCACAAACATAGCTGGACAAAACCACCATGACACTTGCATTACTCTGGAGAGAATCCTACAAACCTATTCACAGCATACTATCAGTCATGGCAGGTAGCCGCCTGAAGAAATTTAGCGCTGCTGAGGGTGTCCTTTGGCGGAACCTGGGATGCCTCATGGCATAAAACCCACCTAAAAGAGCAAGCACCTGGAAAGGCGTAACATATAAAACAATGGCAGCCACAAGACAGAATGTCAAAAAGATAGTTGTAGCACGAGGATCCCGCCAGCTTAACAGTGCCAGAAACCTTTCCCCCTGGGTAGCAATGTCACCAACTACAGTCTGAATCCTCCCAGCCACACTCCTTAACCGATCATACCTTCTCCGAACTAAATCTGAGCTTTTTGTTGTAGGAAAAGTGTCAAATTCCTCATCAAGTTCATCAGGGAGAACCATTTCTGCATAAGAGATTCTTATGTTCATGTGAGGAGGGAATCTTGGCCTAAAACGATAATTCCAAACCCCAATCACAAACATGTAAAGGAATACTGTTGGTAAAATCAGTTCAGGGAAGCAGACCAGCATGACAAAGAGAACATGAACCAACACTGTTGTGATAGAGTTTTTCCACAAACAGACTTCTCCAAACCATTTAGCAACTGCCGATGCTCCTGCGAATACTGACATCAGGCGAAAAAAGTTAGCCTTGCTGCGCCTCATGCTCCAGAGATGAGAATTTGCATCAGACATGTATTCAATTACTTCCTTCCTCAAAGGAGGTTCTGCCCTACCGAGTCTAGCTGCCACAATGTTGACAGCATGGTGTCGCAGCATCTCCTGCTGTACCACAGACAATGGCCTGATGTAGTGCATCTTTGGTAAAAGAGGCCGTGTATATTGAAACATTGTGTTTGCCCATGAGGTATATGAAAATCTTATGGCCAAATGTAGTTCACCCATCTTCTTGACTCCAGAAGGATTAAGGACTAGCAGTGGATAAGAGTGCGTATAAATGCGACCAGCTTCAAGAGTAGATATACGGATCCTGATTTTTCCGATGTTCATATCTCTGTTACCACTTGAACCACCGATATGGCTGTTATCAAACATCCCAATAGTAAGAACAGTAGCTGGATCATATACCTCCCAGGTGTACTGCTCATGGTATTCCGGGCTCAGGTTGTTTATGATAGTTCGAGTTCGAATCCATTTGTGACCATACTTGGCTACACAGTATGTATCTGAGGTACCTTTTCCATCTCTGGTTTTCATAGGGTGGAGTCCATCAGCATTCAGAATTCCAAGCTCCAAAATGCCAATAGATGGCTTCCAGAGCTGCTTTATGGTTGGCCTGAGATCACTGCTGTAGTGAGTTGACTCATCAAGCACATGGTACCCCCCATCAAGGCAGACCTGGACATGGATCCTGCTAGAGAACTTATCTTTCTTTGCACTCTCCCCATCCATGGCAGCTGACAAAGACTTGTCAAGAGCGCACCAACGGCTGTGAACAATTCGATTATCAGCACGCCTTTCAACAGCGTTTAAAGGTATAACAGCCTTCCCGATTGTCTCATCTTTGTTAGGACCTGTGCGATCCTCAACTAAAAGGATCAGAGGTTC